TTTATAATTAGGGATTTCTTGACCTTGACTCCAGTGATAATATTTGGCTCTTTCTTCACTTCCAAATCACTGTTCCTTGTAACTTGCTCTTTAGGTCCAGCTATGTTTGACAACGTATTTCTGTGTAAGTTCAAAGAAAACTTGTTTGTTTCTTTTAAAAATTAAAAAAATAATAACAATAAAAATCCCCCCCATTCTGCCCTGCTTTACCTGTTTCATGGCAGAAGCCTGCTGGTGTTGTCTTTATAAAACTAATGTATCTGTGTTTTAGAGGGAGGGGAGCAGCAACAAAAGGTGTGTAATAATAGCATTACTCCTGTGACTGGTAGGGGTTGTGGCAGCTTCAGACTTTATCTAGACATGTGCTACTAATGGCCATCAGGATTGAAAGGAACTTTTTGGTAACTTAATTATGCATAATTAAGTCAGACTGCTATTAACTCTGTTCACAGAGCTAACCCTGTGTGGAGCAGAGTTGGTATGCTCATGCACATGACTTTGCATAACCATATGCATTAGGACAAAAGCAGGTAGAGAAGATTTCCCTTTCATAAGTTATATGGGGTGAGCAGAGAATGCGAGATAAAGGTGTATTTGCTAGTAAATTTTCAAAGCAATCCAAATGGGAGTGGGTAAAGTCATATGCAGTGTGGTTAGGGTTAATACAGCTGTATCAGCTCTGAGCCCACCATCTGTGCTGTGATCAGGGCTCTCTGCTATTGGCTGAGAGCAGGGGAGGAAGGCAAAGGAAGAAAATCCACCGCTTAATTTAGGCAGTGACGAATGGGTTGCTGTGCAGGATGCTTCACTCCTGGATGTCTGGGATGATGCAGACACTAAAAAGGGAAACGCGTTTTCTCATCATATATTTACAAGCAAGGTGTCATGTGTGGCAGCTCACCCTGGCCTACATCTTTTAGTGAGGCTGCTTAAGGTGCTTGGGAGGGGTAGAGGTCTTAATCATATATAATATTATAGTGCCATGCTACTTTCCCTTGTCCTGTCCCCCCACTTTTCCATGCTTTTGGGCTGGCTGACTCCACATCACAGCCCTTTTGTCCAGGCATTGGCATTTGCTTCTGTATCTGGACACAACAAATATGACACCCTTCTGGGCTATTTTATTCCAGAGCTGTAGCTTAAATATGTTAGGATACATCTTCAGATTGAGCAGGCCTAGCCAGAGTATGCAAAAGACACAACAGGTATGTTTAAGCATCTCTGGCAGAGAATCGTGTAAGAAGCTTTTGCTTGGCTAAAAAATGGTGCTGTCAGCTAATGCTGTTGTTATGAGAGAGAGTGAATTCAATTTTTATACACAATGTCTGAGCAAGTGGACATTGCTTGTGGAGGCTGCAGCTGCTGGCATCACAGGAAGCCCCGGGGGGCTGCACCATGATTTGGGTGACTATATTTCTAGTGCTCACAGATACAATCTTCTTTTCCCCTGCTTAGGATGGATTTTGTGGAATACATTATCTTCCTGACATTCCTGGATAACCTTCTTCTGATTGGGTCCTTATTGAAGTCATACTGCCATGCTTTTATTGAGAAATGCCTGTCATACAGCTGAAGATTCTAGGCATGGACACAACACATATGAACGTGTGTTACTTCTCATTTCTTCTAAGATTCCGTGCCGTGGAATGTCTAGTCTTAAGTCTTCCTTCAGATCAAATGTAATTTCACAGTGTTTTTTGTGGTATGCTTTTCTTTAGATCTTAAGTGCATATAGGAACTGTACTGCTCACTGCCTTTTAACCAGTACACTGCACTTTCCTCCTCCTCCTCTTCGTTATCCTGCCACAACTAGATGTGTGGATGTGCAAGGAATGTGAGTAGGGAAGAATTGGGGTTATATGACAGAAAGAAAGCACAAGAAAGCTCAGGGTCAAGGGATGCAGTCTGTTAGACCCACAGGTATGAAGCCAGAGGGAACCGTGGTGGGAAGCATTGCACAAAACTTGGGGAAGGGTTTTCAGATTTTTGGTACGTGTGCTCTGGCATATGGCTGTGGACCACTAGTCTTACCTCATGGCCCTTTTATTTGCAGCATGTGCTGGTTATAGGTTAGGCTGATGCAGATTGTGCTTAGTGTGATACTGAGATCCTGCCTGCATATATGTGTGCTGATGACATTCAGCCAAAGGCTTTAATGTGCCTCATGCAGGCCTGAGATCATAAATGGCTTTTATTTGTAGAATTTGGATGAACAAATGGTCTTTTCTTAGCCCAGCCCAGCCTCATTTGCTTTCTATTTTAGGACATAATGATAATTGCTAGCTTTTCATGTATATACCCAACTGTTTTGCCAGAGTTAAAATCAGGTTTAGTTAAAAGCCATCTCAGCCTAATAAGACAGTACTGGGCTATTAGTTTACTTTGATTGTAGACATTCAACATATCTGTGATAGTAGCAGAATGGAAATAATGATGTTAATTTACTCTTGCAAAATACCTCAAGGAACCCAGAAAGAGTAAGTAAATGTCGTTGTTGCTATAGAATAATAAAAGCATGTTGTCACACATGAGCACAAGAGTAAGTGCGGCAATACCACCTTTGGCTTAGAAAGAAGCAATTAAACAGGTAGAGATACTTCATGGATCCCTACTTCCTCCACATAACTAGTTTTGGCACCAACAGAGATGAAGATACTGGACTAGGTAGACTTTTTGTGTAAGACAATTTTTCTATTCTGACTGCTTCAGAAATTCAGTTAGAAGCAAAATTAAGTGCTTTAAAAATCTCTTTCTTGGTTCCATATCTGAGAAATTTCAGCTTCATGGAAGCTTCTTGGATAAAGCTGAAAAAAGGATAGAAAATACAGCAGCTTTTTTTAGGATTAATGCAGTAGGGAATAAATCACAGTTTGGCAGGACCCCAGGTCAGGAATGTGGAAGCTGGCACACTACGGAGAAGCAGTAGTGCTAGGAAGCTGAGAAATGGGTGCTGTTTAAAACTGCAGTTCAGCACCCACTGAGACTGGAGGAAAGATCCCATTTGTTGTCACAATCGAAAGGCAAATTGCATGGTTTCAGATTTAGCATAAGAAAACTGATAAGAGAACAGGCTGAAAGGGACCTCAAGAGATGATCTATCCTCCCAAAACCAAAGGCAAGATCAGCATACCAAAGCCATCCTCACAGATGTTTGCTTGTCCCCTCCTCAGCCCCGTGCTGGAAATTCCAGAGCCTCCCTTGGTGACCTGTTCCAGCCTTTGCTGTCATTACAGAGTGGCATGGAGCCCTGAGCTGGCACAGAAGAGCTGAGAGATCCGTTACATGGTGTCAGTCTTTGTCATTTCGTGATTTCAATTTGTAACATTTGTCCTCTAGAGCAAAGTCCTGGTATTAGGACATCTCAGTATTGCTTTTCAAGTCCAAGTCATGTCAGCAGTCTGTGACTTGCATTTTATCACAAGATACCACAGTGCTTAGTGCCCCCCCCCCTTTTTTTTTTTCTTTTAAGGGATTTGAGAAGAAGAACGCTGACAGAAAGAGGGATGTGCTGCAAATAGTGACCTAGATAGCAGGAATGCACAGCATGTATTTGGGGCTTTCTTGGCCCATTATCCAGGAAACAAAAGTCAGGCCCTTTAGTGTCAAAAGGAGTGACTCTCCTCTCATTATCAGTTGTGATAAAGAACTTGGACTTGCCCTTTTGCAAGGTGTGATGTTGCCTGGGCTGTAAACCCACAAGGAGATGAAGGTTTTCAGGCTGTACCTGTTCAGTCGGCTTGAGCAGTGCAGCCAGGATGATCTTTTTCCTGGTGCCTGGGCTTTAACTGCTGAGATTGCTCTGTTCCTGTTGGTCTCCCTTTGTTGCTATTTGTTGATGTTTCAGGACTGTGGAGAGGATGTTGCATTGACCAAAGGAACACCGAGTTTGGGGATAATAAAATACGGAAAATGCTTTGTTCCAGGCTGTCTCCTCTGTGGTTTCCATGTGTGCCTTGGCTGATGGGCATTCCCTTTCTGCTTCACTCGTCTTCCAGGCCTTCCCTTCCCTCAGTCCCTCTGTTCCCTGAGGCTGGGCACAGAAGCTGTAGCACAACCCTTGCAGTTCAGTGCTGTCTGCCGCATCAGTCCCTTCAGATCTTACCATGTGCTGAATTGCCCCTTACTGGGAAATCTCTTTGAGTATTTTATGTTTGAATGGAGAGGAATGGGAGCTTGGGGCTGAGCCAAAGATTTCTTATGTGACATGAGACATTGTGGCATCCTCTGGGACAGAGGGCATTCAGTGCTCCTGGCTTCAGGTTTGCATTCTGCCATCAAAGAGCCTTTCAGAATCGCAGCGAAAAGTGAGTGTCGACTACCAAGGTAGTACCAAAATCCCTGAGCGAGAGTCCTTATGCCGATTAGAGTCCATGAGAACTACAGTTTACCATACCTGCAGGTGGAAGACAATATGCCCTGCCACACAGCCTTCACTGCTGTCGTACTGCTGTCACCCGTGCCTTGGGCTCTCCCTGAAAAAAGGTCTCTCCTCCTGTTCCTGGCTGAGATGTGCCACCGCCCCTGAGCTGGGTGGACACATTGGGCTTTGCTGCCACCCAACGGGGAAGTGCAGCATCCTGATGATGCTCACTCAGGCCTCCTATATTTAGTTTCATGTAAGCAGTCAAGATCTTGCTAACAGCAAAACTAGAAATAACACTGATTACTTTAGAAGACAGCAACTTTTTGCAGTGATGATTTCTGTAGCTCGTTCCTAAAAAAAATCTGAAGTTTGTACAGAGCTTGCCCGGCAGTCTTTGAATCATAAGCAGCATGAAAAACCGAAGAGGTATTTTCCGTCTTCTACTGAGTGTGTATAGGATGCCGAAGACCGAATCTTTGTACAGGACCTGGGAAGTGTCTGAGGAAAGGAAGATGTACCTTTTTCATTGCTGTGCAATTCTCTCCTTTGGTTATCAAGCGTTGCAGTGGGTGTGTGGTTAATGAGGGTTAATGAACCAAGTAACTGACAACAAATGCATTTGTTTGTTTATTTGCAGATTGTGCTGGCTGTGGAAGAGACATAAAAAATGGACAAGCATTGCTAGCTCTGGATAAGCAGTGGCACCTTGGGTGCTTTAAGTGCAAGGCCTGCGGGAAGGTCCTAACTGGGGAATACATCAGCAAGTAAGTAACCTCTGCACCTCTTCTGCACTCTTGGCATGAGTTCTTGTTGCCAATGAAGAAGAACTTGCAGCAAAGTTCACCTTTCAAAATCGAGTTTTCACCACCTTTCCATATACACCAAAATCTTTGTTTCCAGTGAGACCTGAGTTGGGAAAGAGAAGTAAACTGAAAAGTGCAACTGAAAGGTGGTGTTTACTGATAGTAGTCTATATTTAATACCAATATGGAAGAGGATATATCTCCAGGTTCCCACAAAGGATTAGGTGAATTCCTGCATGTGTTTTCTGTGTTAGCCACATAAAGCTTTGTGTCATTTTGCCTTCCAATGTGTGATTTTGAGGAAAAAAAGTAGGAATTGACCTGGCACTGTGTTTCTTATCTCTATATAAGAAACTAATGAAGAGGGTTTTGAGTGGAAGGAAGTGTAGAGGAAGAGAATGGGGAAAAGTGGTGTAATGATAGAGGGAATGAAGATACAGTCTCTGTTTCCCCCCTTCAGGTATATAACAAAGACAAAAAATAGGGTAACAATGTATGTTTCACAAACCTGTCATTAAGGGTGTCGTGGTTTAACCCCAGCCAGCAACTAAGCACCACGCAGCCGCTCACTCACTCCCCCCCCATCCAGTGGGATGGGGGAGAAAATCAGGAAAAGAAGTAAAACTCCTGGGTTGAGATAAGAATGATTTAATAGAACAGAAAAGAAGAAACGAATAATGATAATGATAACACTAATAAAATGACAACAGTAGTAATAAAAGGATCGGAATGTACAAATGATGCGCAGGGCAATTGCTCACCACCCGCCGACCGACACCCAGCCAGTCCCCGAGAGGCAAATCCCTGCCCCCCCACTTCCCAGTTCCTAAACTAGATGGGACGTCACATGGTATGGAATACACTGTTGGCCAGTTTGGGTCAGGTGCCCTGGCTGGGCATGAGAAGCTGAAAAATCCTTGACTCTAGTCTAAACACTACTGAGCAACAACTGAAAACATCAGTGTTATCAACATTCTTCACATACTGAACTCAAAACATAGCACTGTACCAGCTACTAGGAAGACAGTTAACTACATCCCAGCTGAAACCAGGACAAAGGGTTGTATAATATCGAATAAAAAGTAGCATCTGTAATTTCTCAAAAGAAGTTCAGTGCCTGAGAAATACTCCTAAGATGACTAGTGTTTCCACTTTTACTCTGTTCCTTGTTCATACTAAAACACTATATAACCTTAAAAAAAAAAGTGACTGCTTATACTCTTGAATCAAGACTACCAAAGAATTTTTTGCTGAAGTGAACAAAAACTACCTGCCTATGATAAAGACTCTGATCTCTCATCCCCATAGACATAGTTTCACTGATTCCCTAGAATTGCACTGCCTGTAGGCGTAGAGAGTCTGTTCTAAAGAATGAGATTTACTTCAGTGGTTTGTAATGGATGCCTTTTCTTGATGGGAATTTAATGAGAATATGAATTTTTTTCTTCTACTACAAAATATTTCTCTTTAATTCTCTCCCATTTGCCTATTCCTGTGTGTAGGAGTTCCAGACTGAAGACAAGGGAAGAGTGTAAGTCATGCTGTAACCTGTTTATTAAAAGGTGGTTTGTAATTCGTGGATTTTCTTTTTCAGAGATGGTGCTCCTTATTGTGAAAAGGACTATCAAGTTCTTTTTGGAGTCAAATGTGAAGCATGTCACCAGTTCATTACTGGGAAAGTCCTAGAGGTAGGTGTTTTGTAAGCTAGAGTTTAGGAATTGGGCCATGCCCCGTTATGTCCTCATGCAACTGCAGAGAATACAAAAATTCACATAAGAAAGTTTTCTCTGCTGATTTTAGAGTGAAGTTGCTAATTTTCAGAAATACTTTCAGTGTTTTAGCTTTGCAGTCATCAGGAAAACTGTGATAGGGAATTAATTGCACTAGTTTCTATGGATCTGTGGTTTCTATGTTTCTCTTTTAATGGTGATATGCAAAGTCTATTGCACTGCTTATTCTGTGTCAGATGTGATATATTTATAGAGGTAATCTGAGTATTGGAATCACCTTTGGCAACCATAAGTTTGCCAAAACTAACACCGTGAGATTTCTCTTCTTAAATGAGGCCAGATGATCTGAATGATGCTGAGAAGGTGAGAAGGAGAAATGTGCTGGAGTGGTAAATTATATGTTCAGAAACAAGAAGGCAGAAAACATCTGAACCATCTCTTTTGTTGACTCTTAGTTGGAGTCCTCAGCGTTCTCATTGAAACTGACCAAATCTTTATAGAGATGTGTATCTTTTGTTGTCACTACTGGTCTCCATCTCCTATGTCTGTCATGAGTCCCCTTTGAGCTGAAATCCTTGAACTATGCGTGGATCCCTCTATGTCATCATTGAAATGTTTAAGGGGCAAAAATGCAGAGGACCTTCCTTGTCACACTGTCATTGAGATATGAGAAGCAAAACTGTTAACTCACTTCCTTGTAGGAAACTCTGTTCAATGGAAAGAACCTAAGCTTTGAGCCCAGGTCTGGAGCTGGGCTGTGTGGCTTGACTCCAGCTTTAGTGATTTTTAATACTCCACTTTTCCTGGGAAAAAAAGCCTTTACATAATACAGTTTGTGGAAGAAATGGGGAACCACAAAGGACTTTGGTTACAGGTGTATTTTGTGAAGAAGAAACTGGATGTACTGTATGTTTTACAGTGAATAACAGAAATAAACCTGAAAGTGTTATGGAAATAAAAGTAGCTGGAATTTGCTAGTGAATGTGTATTACAGGTTCTCTTCTTTGTGTCCCATCTGCTACAGATATAAGACTATGTCAGCAGTCATATGAGAAGTTTCAGGTTTGACATAAAGTGGTAACAGCTTGTGGTTTTAGTTCTGGAGGTTTCTCTGGCTCAGTATTCAGAATATTAACCAGGATGGTAGCCACCAAATGAGGGACTCGGAACGCATGTGGACACCTGGTGCATTTGTCACTGCATCTACTGGGAGGAAGTACAATTTTTTAATTAGCCAGGCTCTTAGTCTGCCTCCTTTGCAATGTGTATCTAGTTCCTTTAGAAACCCACATAGATAATTAGTGAGAACAGTCTGAGTTTTTCCTTGAGGAGGAAGGCTGTGTCCCTGGCTTTAATCTAGTGGTCTGCTACCATCTGCTTACCTATTCCTATCTACTGATGAGTTTTTCAGTTTAGTACTATGTATTGGTGGCACTGTAGTTGCATTCCAGTGCAGGAAGCACTGGAGGAGAGAAGTAATTGGATTTCTGAGATTGGGAAGCATAAAATAATTCTAAAATTATTTTAGATGCACATGATAGGTGCTCTAACCTACAAGCAATGCAACCTATTCAGAGGCATGGAGATGAAAATTATAAAAAAAGAAGGTTATTGGAGTCTGTGGAGAGCTGGGAAGAAATAAGGTATTCTTATTTGGAGCCTTTTGTGTAGTGGATGTGAATATAGCAAGGCTGCACTCATGTTATTCTTCCTAGCATCAGTGAGAAAGAAAACTAGCTTTTTGAGAGGATCATGATCTGTATCCTTTCAGAACTGAGTAACTTAAGACTAAGGAAAGATTAGTTCAATTAAACTAGGACTTAACTGTCCATCATAATCTAAGCTAAAGCTCATGTTATCAGAGACATTGTGTCCTGGGCAGAACCCTGATGCAGTCATTTTGGCCCCAAGGCTGCTTTCTCACTCCATAGTTCTTGCTCTTCTGATGGCTATTTATTATCAGAAGAAGAGGAACATTTTGCTGCAGCAATGAAACATGTCCATCCTCTTGCAAGGATCCACCTCTTCTTAAGAGTCAAAATCAGGTATAAAAGATAAAGATTTTTCCATTTGACCTAGCCCCTGCAGAATCAGAATATGCTGATGAATTAGAAACAGACCCTATGAATGATCTTATCAATATATGGAAATATTAAGCATGCTAAGTTCTGGGTAAGACTAGAAGTTTTGCTTGAGTATTTGTGGCTCTCATTGATAATGAGAGGCACAACCCATAATAATACAGTAGAGGGCAGCAGTAGTTCTCAATATGTAACTAAGACCAAACTCCTCTAAAGCCTGTAGAAGTTGAATTACTCATACAGTGCAACTCTTGAAGACTGACTGCTATCTGAAAGGTGTAGATTGGACAAGTCCTTAGAAACTTTCACCGAAAAAATAAGTACTGTGTAGTCAGGGAAGCCATTCAAACATTGGCTTAACTGCATTACAGTATGTATTAGCAGCCTGGATAGTATATGAATAGAGTTCTCCAGGTATCATCTGGGAATGCAGATGCAAGAGAGACATTCAAGCACTTTCTGTCATTAAGTGGTGCTTGAAAAGATTAGAAGATACAGGTGAGCAGCTAACATTCAATAATCAGAGCAATTTATCAGAACCGTGGGCTCATCCTAGAAACCTTTTACATTGTCAGAGATGCACAGTTCCAAAGGGGCAGTACTAATGCCTCTAAATTAGACTAAAGGAACTAATAAGTCAAAACTTAGGATGAGAAAGTCATGTGTCAGCATGTGTGTTCCCTTTGGGCAGAAAAAGTAGTCTAAAGGATGGGGTCAGAGCATGACATAAATTCTCTGGTAATAATGGAGGTGAGAGATTGGAAGCAGCCACAGTGCCATGGAAAATAATTCATAAAGCAGGATGCCACAGTTCAGGGAGGGCTGCAGACCTATTTGAGGCAGGACAATTAACAATCTCCTTATCTTGTACATGAAATCACCCACAGCCTTCCAGTACACCTGAAGTTTTAATTTAGATGAAGCTTGAAATTCTCACAGGAGGATTACTGTCTTCCGTTTTTGTTTTCTTTGGCAACATTTCTTTGGAAAATTTGGGTATTTTTGATGATCTGTTTCATGTGGGTCATCTCTTGTCCTGCTGCCTCTCTTGGGAAGGAAACTACATTCTTGGTGTGAAGCAGCACAATTATAGGAACTGTCTAGGTAGAGGTTATGGCATCACTGACTAGCCCAAGTTATCCTTACTGACAACCAGTGGGAGAGAAAACAAAACACTTTGTACTTTGCCTTTGTTAATAAAAATGGTAGTAGTAAATTCACTGATCAGTATCTTTCATTTTATTTGTCAGTAAAATAATTTGTTATGTCAGGAGCAGAGTGTACTATTTCATCGTCTTCATCCAAAGAAATGATTAAAAGAGATTGGAGGGAAGTATATAGTACATTGTATACAAACACTTTCTTCTAATGGATCAGAAGCGATGAGCAGCATGCCATTGTAGTGCTGCTTTATTTTCTGCTTATTGTTATTACATCTGGGACAGTCTAAAGAAAAACTGAAAAACTGAAGGGAAATGAAAGCATGAAAGTTAGCTTTGGGTTCACAGAGGCTGGTGGTATCTATTTTTCCAATAAAAGATAATTTTTTTTATTTAAAGAGAGATTCTTTGCAACATTGCAGGCTTTCAGCTCCTGCTCACTTTTGTCCCTCAGTGTGGCTTAGCACCTCTGAAAAATCAGGTTTTCAGTCTTCTGCAGTGAGCAGCCAGCAAGAGAGACAACCACTCCTGATGTGGACCTGAGTCTTCATCTCAGAAGCAGCTATGCTGTGCCCCTGGTAGGCACCCTCAGCAAAGCCTGTCAGAAAGGCCAAGTTTGAGATTCAAGCCTTGAGAGGATGGACTCCCTCCAACCATTCTGTAGAGGTGATCCCTCCCCTTTGCTCAGTTAGGAAATGCATTACTCAAAAAACAGTACTCATTTTGCTAATATCCACTTATCATGGAAGAATGCTCTTTTTTCTAGGCCATAGATCTAACAACTTTCAGTAGCCCTGAAAATATGAAAGAAAAATACCATGTGCATTTAAGTCAGTTCAAATATTTCTCATGTATTATTTGACACAGAACTTTGTGACAAATAGTCACAGATAATAGATGAGTGCATGCTAACACAATAAATGTGGTATTATGCAATATGAAATAGATACTGCAACTTTCTTGAGGATACCAAATACTTTAATACTCGAGTGTTTCAGGAAATGTTGTCAAGGCAACAGAGATCAGTGTTCTTCCTTGGGTTTCTCCAGCAGATAGGAATCTTTATTTATGAAAAATTACCCATTTTCCATTAACTCTGGTGAAAACGTTTTTATCGGGCAATAACGGCATAGTGAGAGTGAGGACTTTTACATAGACTTTCCACTAAGCTATTGTTTTCATAGCTTCAAGGCTTGCCTATTGAAAGTGCCCATCTGATCCTAATCCTGCAAGTTTCTGTGTTGACATGTGTAACTCCACAAATCTAAGTAAACTTCAGCATATATTTAGCTATTTGAAAGATGCTGGCCTAAATAATTTTTGTCTAATGTGGTTATCATACACAATATAACTATTCCTCCAAGGCTTAATTCAAAATATGTTAAATCAATGAGAAGCTTTCCATTGACTTCAGAGAATGGTGGCTCGTGCCTACATCTGTGTATTTCGTCTTTGCTTATCTCAAGTGGTTTACAAAACTTCTATTAGTATTCTTTTAGTTCTGCAGAAAGAAGACATTAGGGTAGAAACAGGTGGATATTTTCAATGAAATCATACAGAAAGCCTGAGAATAAGATTTAGGTCTTAATGATTTTCACGTTTTTTGGCTGTTACTGATATGAACAGGATTTGATCTCGTGACCTAGAGATAGAGATGTATATATCTGTTATCAAATTCCTCAACCATCTTGCTACGCTACCCATTTATGTTTATACT